TAAAGAGATGAATAAAATGGAAAAATTGATCTCTACACAGATCAGTCAGAAGATAAAGAAAGTAGACATGAAATAAAATTAAAGAACACTACTACAGATCCAACAGACATGAGGAAAATAAGATAACAGGAATAACTTATGTTAGTAAATTGAACAAAGAACTTTTCCCATTTTTAATGGGAAAAGAACTTGAACAGACACTTCTCCAAGGAGGACATACAGAAGATCCAGAGACACATGAAGAGATGCTCAATATCACTAGCTATCAGAGAGATGCAAATTAAAATCACAATGAGATACCACTTTACACCAGTCAGGATGGCCATCATAAACAAAGCAACAAACAACAAATGTTGGAGAGGTTGTGGGGAAAAGGGGTCCTTAGTTCACTGTTGGTGGGATTGCAGACTGGTACAACCATTATGGAAAACAGTATGGAATTTTCTCAGAAAAATAAAAATTGACCTGCCTTTTGACCCAGCAATTCCACTGCTGGGATTATACCCTAAAAACCCTAAAACATCAATTTCAAAGAACCTATGCACTACAATGTTCACAGCAGCACAATTTACAATAGCCATGAGTTGGAAGCAACCTAGGTGCCCATCAGTAAATGAATGGATCAAAAAATTGTGGTACATATACACAATGGAATTCTATGCAGCAGAGAGAAAGAAGGAGCTACTACCCTTTGCAACAACATGGATGGAACTGGAAAGCATTATGCTGAGTGAAATAGGCCAGGGGTTGAAAGACAAATACCATATGATCTCACCTTTAACAGGAAGCTAAACAACAAAACAAATAAGCAAGCAGAAAAAAAAAACAAAGACACTGAAATAGAGAACAAGGGGATAGTGACCAGAGGGGAGAGGGAAGGGAAGTTAAGGGGGAACTGGGGGAGGGATTTGGAGGAACAAATAGGAAGGACACAGGGACGAGAACTAAGGGGGGTGGAAATGGGAGGGAGGTGGGGAGCAAGGGGCAGGGGGGGCTGGGATGGGAGAAATAGAAAACTGTACTTGAAAAATAACTAAATAAAATTTTTTTTAAAAATTAAAAAAAGAACTTTTCCTATTTTAAAATAGAAACAATATTTAATACATTTAACTCAGTAATCACATTTTACATCTATTCAAATGTAGACAGTATTTTCATTTCTCCAAAGCTCAGAAACTTTTATTAAAATTACATGCAACTGAATACTTTTATCAAATTATTTTGTGTTTATTCCTGATTTTATAAAACATTATATATAAAATATCTACTGGATAAATGCAATGCTTTCCCACAATTTTTGTCTCTTGTACATCTAGAGACAAAGATGTCAAAGATGTATCCTTGCCTTTTTATGTGACTTTTATAGATTCCTCATAGATACAGAATACAGTAGAAATAATGCTATAAAATATAAATCTGTTAAACTAGTAGATTTGCTTTCATCAAAAATTCAGCTTAAAGATATCTGCATAAACTTTATATTTGAAGAACTATTGGGAATAAAATAATATTTTTTCTAATTGAAAATAGGCATTTTATTATTTTTTATTTTTAAATATTTTTTTATTTTTTATGCCATTACAGTTGTTCTATTTCCCCCCTTCATTCCCCTCCACCCTGCACACCCTCCCCCATCATTCCCCCCTTTAGTTTATGACCACGTGTCTCAAGTTCTTTAGATTCTATATTTCCCATACTATTCTTACCCTCCCCCCATCTCTTTTCTACCTACCATCTATACTACTTATTCTCTGTACCTTCTCCCCCCTTCCCCTCCTCCCACTCCCCTGTTGCTAACCCTCCATGTGATCTTCATTTCTATGGTTCTGCTCCTGATCTAGTTGTCCTCTTAGTTTGCTTTTGTTTTAGGTGTGGTTGTTAATAACTGTGAGTTTGCTGTCCTTTCACTGTTCATCTTTTTTATCTTCTTTTTCTTAGGTAAGTCCCTTTAACATTTCATATAATAAGGGCTTGGTGATGATGAACTCCTTGAATTTGATCTTATCTGAGAAGCACTTTATCTGCCCTTCCATTCTAAATGAAAGCTTTGCTGGATAGAGCAATCTTGGATGTAGGTCTTTGGAATTCATGACTTGGAATACTTCTTTCCAGCCCCTTCATAAGTAACAGGCACAAACAGATCAAAACATGGCTCAAGAACAACTCAGAGCCCCAGAGCCCATACATCTAAGCGATGAAGAAATAGCCAAACTTTCAGATGCACAGTTCAAAACACTGGTGATCAGGATGCTCACAGAACTGGTTGATTTTAGTCACAAATTAGAGGAACATATGAAGGCTAAAATAATCGAAATGAAGGGAAATGCACAGGAAACCAATAGTAATGGAAAGGAAACTGGGACTCAAATCAAAGGAGTGGACCAGAAGGAGGAATAAAATAATATTTATAAAAATTACAAAATGTGGTATCTACAAGTCTCTCTTAACATTCAACATTCAGCTAGCAGAAATGCAACTAATTAATAACATCTGAAGTACATTCCCCCAAACGACTGATGACCATTGGGCTGACCCTGCACTAGATCAATAGAGATAGCAAATCTGTAAACAGTTTCTTAAATGTTATCAGTCTAAAAAGCCCTGGCTGGTGTAGCTCAGTGGATTGAGCGCAGGCCTGAGAACCAAATGTTATCAGTCTATCATCCCACCACCAGAAGAAAGGATTGAACTTGGATGGGACAAGGGATGTCCTGTGTTACATACATTTAAATCAATTGTGATTCTTAATTTGACTATCAATAAGATGAGACTGAGAATTCTCCTAAAGTTGCCCCCAGAAAGAGATGGGCAGAGGACCAAGTTACAGTAAAGATTTCAAGACAAAAGAGTCAGGAGGCAACATGATTATGGGAGATTATACAAATCAAAAGACCTCTGCCTGATGTAACTTGAAATTATTTAAATTTCCTTAAAGGCCTCTTCCAAGTCCTGATTTTTGGTTGTGAAATAGTTATGGAAATATAAAAACATGAAATAAATGAAAGAAAACATGTATCTATTTGTATTTAAATTACTATATATTCCTATACATGATGGGGCAAAAGTAGGTCTACAGTTGTAAGAACATGAAACAGTCTATTCTTTTATTACTATTTACTATCTTATTATTTTCCATGTAAAAAACTGCAAACCTTCTCTTTCCCCACCCTATATATATCAAACCTATAAAAATTCTATATTTTGATGTCAAGAGTAAACTACTTTGGAAGAAACTGAGTAACATACTCATTGTTATACTCAGATAAATCATCATAAAATCACTGAGAAATTTTCAATAATAAATTTGGAACAGGCATCCAAAACAGGCATACTATTAAGACAGTGATTATAAATTTATAATTGAAATTTAAACATTTTAACAATTGTTTTTGCCTAAGGTACTCTTCCTATGATACTTTACCTAATACATGGTTCATTTTAGGAGATATTTTGTATTTAATTTAGAAATTATGGAATTTTCATTAAATGTGTTTTCCCTATTGGTGTATCTCTTTACAACAGTGTCTGAATTAAGTGATATTTTATCTCTCTATTTCCTATTAAGACTCTTGGGAAGAATAAACTATGAGGAATTATAAAACTTTCAGATCAATAGCTTATTTTATCATATTGTATTCTATATATACTATAAATTAAGGTCTTATTTTGCTAGAATCTGTTTGCAGTTTGAGAGCATTTAAAATATTAGAGATGCAGTGTTTTTAAAAGCCCATCATAACTTCTAGTCACTCTATGCATAGCAGTTACTGTTCTATGTAATATCAAAATGGGGTTTTAAATGATTATATTATAGAACTTCCTTAATGACAAATTGTAATGGTCTCTTCAAGTACAGATTTGATGAAATACCCCTGGTGACATGCATGTTTTTAATACTTACCTATATTGGATTAAAGTTTATGTTAAAGATTTTGGTTAACTTTTATGTAATCGAGAAAACAGGTTTGGAGACCCAATCTATGACAGCACTCCATCTTCCCTATATATAGAGAAATATAGAAAATAGGGGAAAAACTGTACCGCCCCTTAATGCTTATTTTCCATATGTTATTAGATATTTCATAGCTCTCAATTTAAGAGAAAAAGTGTAAGCAGACTGCGAGATGCTTTAGTAATTTTTTAAAAAGTGGCACTTCAAAGGGTCTGTTTTTCTTTCTTCACAACTAAGGGTAATGCCTGGCTTAGAAGGTAAGGAAGCAATTAGAAGCTTACATATTCAAAGTTTTAATTAAGTCTCCTCCAGAGTTTATGATGACCTTGGATAAAGCACTTGGCGACAAAGGAGGGAGGGAAGGAGTGAGGGAAGGAGGGAGGGAGGGAGGGAGGAAGGGATGAAGGAAAAGGGAGTAAGGGAGCCATTGGACTGATAAATGTCAGTCATACTGCTATTTAAAATTCAACATAACAGAGTTTCAAAGACATCCTACAGTAGAAAGGTCTTAAGAGTATGTTTTTTATAATGACAATAAAAATATGCCCAGTGACAGTGAGGTTTATGCAGACAGACTTGAAAGAACTAAATATATATATGGATATATATATATATATGTGTGTATTTATTTACTTACTTATTTATATAGGGAGCTATATAGGGAGATTGTACATATAATCTAGCTCAGCATAGTTCTTTCTGCTGATGACGATAAGCACACAGGAGTTTCTCAACCAAACCAGGTGATTAAGATCAGACATGGAGGCTTTTTGAGTCCTTCACCTCGCCACCCCCCCCCACCATGTATAAACAGAAGAGACTCAAAAAAGAGGTAGAATATACTTAAAGAATTTTCATACATAAATGCAATAAAGTGCTTTTGTCTATTAACCAGTCATTTTAAGTAACCACATCATCTGAAAACCAGTCCCATCAATATTTTTTAAATTAATGAATACTCAATAATATCTTACTGTCTTTAATTTTTTAATCTGGATAAGAGAAAAAGTAAATAACATTCTCCCAAAGTATTTATCAACTTTCTTACCATTAAATGTTAAATAAACTCTTGCTTGGGGCTGAGAAGATCCTTTTACACAGATAGAACAAACAAATACTCCAACCAACATGCAAATTGCCTGGAATGCCATTTCTTCAGATTTTCAAGTTAATATCCACAGGAAGATACCTTAAAAAAAGATAAGTTTATTACACTTCATTTCACATTTTAGGAACACATCCACACCCACATAAGCAAAACCAGCAATCTAAATAGAGCTCCCCTTCATATGACATTTCTGAACTTTTATAGTCATGCAAACAGTAGGAGGTGCTGTGACTTTGCTTCACAGATGTGAAAATTTGGATTTGTCTCATTTGGTCTGGAAGTGTTTGCAAAATAGGGAACTATTTCATCCTCCGAAACATAATGCTAATAATATTAAAGCAGAATGAAGCAACCAGGAAAAAGTTATTGATTCCCAAAGGAAAACCCAATATTTCAATTTGATCTTCCAAAAATCACATTATGTTTAAATATCTTGAGAATGGTACTAATAGGTGTCAGTGGATGAAAACATCCCTTTCTAACATACACACAGTAGTAGTATGAAAATCCTACAAGAAAATTTCCACTCATTTCCATAGCATTAACTCTTTTGGAGCACGTCATCTCTAAAATGATGTTTCTATACATAAATGTACATGTGCTCCATTCCTGAAAACTAAAACCACTTGAAACAGTTATCAGCCAATATATACGGATGACCATGCAGCTGTTAAACGATGCAGATGAGGTAACCATGGACTGGTGCCAAATTCAAATGAGTGACCTAGTGGTGAGCAATCCAGTGAACCACGTATCCCTCAATACATATTTAAAATAAATCACTGAAAGTGGCTGTCAAAATTCCAAAAGATAAATCAGAGACAAGGACTGTTTGAAACTGTAGCTATGAAATGAATACATGCTATTAACTAATATCTGAATACCGAGGAAGATCAGGTAATGTGTAACTGCAGGTCTGTAAGAGCTCCAGTGGCCATATACTCAGAACAAACTCGGGACCATAAAAAATATCCCATCATTTTGAGTCTAGTATAATGATACACTCAAATGACATGACATAATTTCATACAGAAAGCAATTTGTATAGGTGACAGCAATTCTAATCTTCAATATTATGTGGCTTTTAAATTAAAATCTTATCACTAATTTTATTCAATAAAACATGACACTAAAATTTGTAAAGACGACTTCATTAATACAGAAGACAAATCACAAGGAAACGCAATATGCTACTTTAAACAAAATAGGTAAGCTGACTTCCTAGGTGGTACATCATGTTACCAGAGTTGGAAACCAAACTGTGTGCCTCTTTTATCCCACAGATGGAGGAAACCCTAGAGATGTTTGTGTTGGTAATTTTCAAAAGAAACAGCTTCTTCCTGCTTCCACAACCTCTTCACCCTGTCATCCCTAAATTAATTTAGAAGAAAATTGATTTTATGGAGTGACTTTCCCTTAGTAACTTGCTCCCTGGTACAAAGCCATAAATATGCCTAACCTTTGTCTCTTAAGGACACTGATAATATTTACACCCTTTTACATACTGCTATTATCAGTATTTTATCTGGTATGTCTCCCCAAAAGTGACCCATGCCACATACTGCAAAACAATAATTAATACTACTAACAAGAACAGAGATGAAAGGGCAGGTCAAATGAAGCGACTATACAGTGCAATGCGACTTCAAGCCTACCTAGAGAAAAGTGACTCGAGCCAAGTTAAGTGTCTTCCACATGCCTCACACCCCCTATTTTAAACTTCTCCCCTTTAACTCTGACACTCCGGCTGCTTGTTGTTTACACTTCTTATAGAAACACCAATCACATGAAAGAAAAAGACTCTTTTATGTCCTTCCAGCAATTTTGCTTCAGAATTCACTGAAATCCTCAACTTTAACACGCCGCAGGTGTCACAACCTAAAGAAACAACTCAAGCCGGGCTCTCAGCAAGGGAAGCAGTTCCCTGACAAACTGCATGTGCCCCTAAGAAAACATATAGACGTGAGCACAGCGACGTGTGAAAAGTCGAGACACGGACCCAAAAGTTACATTTTGGAAAATCTGTAATTCTGAAAATAAGGAATCCAGCTTACCGAGGTGGGAAGAGATCCGCACGGAAAAATCAATTTGCTACCGGTTTGGCTCCGCACGTGTTTCTACCCCTTTTCCCAGAAGACCTGAATTTCTAGAGCGTCCCAAGGGCGAAATTCTTTCTTCGAGGTCCTCTGAGTTTCTTTGTAAAGGAATCCTCAGCTTTGCGGGGCTGCGGCACCGGAGCCCTTCTCCGCGTCGCTCAATCAAGCACCTCGGAGTGAATGGAAACTGGCTGGGCGTGGGGGGCGAGCGCCCGGTGTCCGATTACAGCGACGCGGCGCGCGGCTCCCGCGGCCCCGGCGCGCCGCCCAGCCGGCTCGCCTCTGCGCCCTGCACGCCCGGCCGCATCACCGCCGGCGGCCACGAGGCCCCACCCAGGGCGCGCCCGCGGAGGGTGGCGGGGAGCCGGGAGGGCGGGGCGGCCCGAGGGACGCGGCCGGCAGAAGCTGGAATGCGCCGCAGCAGGCTGGAGGACAGGCGGGGCTGCTCCGCTCCTTCCCAGTCCGCGGTCGCGGTGGAATCACCAACTTAACCGGAGGTGCGCCAAGGGTTTTGTTTGTTACGGGCAACCCTTGGAAGACACGCGGCCAAAATATCAAAGTGCAAAGCAGTCTTCTTCGTTTTCTTTTCATTTGTGTGTGTGTGTGTTTTCCCAGAAAGAAATCACTGCATGCTGTTAAGGCAAAGAGATGCGTCTTTAAAAGCGCACGAGTCTTGTCTTTTTCTTGCAGCAGTTTTTCTAAAATCTGTCATTAAACCAACAGTCTCGTCACAGAAGTTATCCTCTTTAATAGGCATTGTTTTCTATTGCGTTTCCTTAATGTGCAGAAGGCAGTAATTCTGTTGACCTCTCCACACTGGCTCATTTCCAGTACTTTCCCTCCAGGATACTACCAGAACGTAATTACAAAAAATTACTTAACAATTTTGTGTAAGAAGGCTGTTCTGAAACATGGCAACGAATAGAGGTTTACAAATCTAGATGTCGGGGGTGTATTTCTAGATCTATTTCCAGGTAAACTTGTTACACTGTGGGACCGACTTTGATGTTTAAATGACAATTATTTGCCCCGATCATAATGAACTGCATATTGGAACAGCAGGGGAAATGAGCTTCCACCCCCATAAAGTGAGCAGGTACCTGTTTAAAAATCACTGTGGGCTGCAGCCCAGCAGATGTCACTATACAAAGGAACTATGGAGTGCACTTTCTTCACCTTTTTTTAAAAATCATTTTCTTTATGAAGTAAAACAAATCACTTCATTCTTATAAACTGTATCATAGGAAATATTTCTGTGAGTGCAAAATCGTTGCTGGAGTGGGAGAGTTGACTTAAATCTCAGGTAGGAAAACGTGAAGAGGTGATTAAGATAAAGTTTTCACATGTCTAAGCACCACCTGTTATGTCCAGTTTACAACTGCCTCTAACTCCCTGTATAGCTGAGATATAAAAGGATCATAAGAATTACATTAAATGTGAATGCAAATTTAAGAGTTCAAAAATTATATTCCAAGGCCAATATCATCTTTATATGTCTGTTTATTGGGGGTGGGGGGACCTCCTCATCTAATGGATGTATTACTTTAAAATATTTAATACAATTAAACTGTTTTTGTGATATTTTGTGATAGCGCAATAAAAATGTGAGCAGCTTCTTCACAAAAGTTTGTAATTTTGAATTTAATGTAACAAACATCTGATAGTATTAAAATGAGAGGCAAATATGTAAGCATAATGTACATTTCTCTGAAATATTTCCAAAACCAATTGAGGCCCAAGTTATATATTGACCATTATTATCTTTCTACTGATGTCTGCATCATCATTAACTTAATGAGGGGGAAGAAAAAAATTATTACAAAGAAGACTGTTGTAAGCATTAATAAGTTATATAATTATTAATTTAGAAATTTGTAGCCATTCAACACTGATTAATTCCATGTAAGGTAGAATATATTATATACTTTATTTTTAAGTTTCAGGAAACCAGGATTTAAAAAAATGTAAGGCGACATGCATGCCAACTTTTATATTTACAAGGGAATTTACTCAATTTACAAAAGTCTAAAGAATTAGCTCAATATCTCACAAGGGTATCGAGACTATGACAAATGGTTTTATTTAATCACACTGTGAAATTTGTGCAGCAACTCCCATCTTGCCTGAATAAACTTCTTTCTAGTGTATTTAACAGAATGGTATTTGCTTCATACTGAGCCATATAATGGTATTTGCTTAGTACAGAGACATTTACCGTAGGCCAGGCCTCAGACTGAGTCCTGAGAATATTGCAAGGCATTAGCCAAGGCAGATTCCAGCACAGGGACACAAGTAGTGCTCATGGTTGCCTGAAGTTTAGGCCGTACAGTGACATTTTAAGAGTGGCAAAATTTGCCCCCCAATAAGATTTATCTTGCCTCGTTTCTCCATACTGCCCAGGAGCCTAAAACACCTTAACAAATCAGGACTTAACACTACTAACACTGGTCGCCAGTGCCACTTTTCCAGGATGCAGTACTTGCCTCTGTCCTTAGAGGTGGAAAACAATATTAGCTAACTGAGTAAGCTAGTTCAGGAAAGAGGGACACCACATCTATCTACAAGACTAATAACCACAATGAAAATTTAAAGACTAGTAATTACAAAGTTTGCTCTGATCAGAATGTCTTGGGGTGGGGAAAAAAATTAAAGTACTTAAAATCGATCTCATTCAGATGTTATAGAAATAGCACCACCTTTACACTGAAATTTTCTGCTGAAGTACAGTGGCCTTATTTTTAATATTTTTTATATTTTTGGTGGTCCTTAAAAAAAGTCATTTAACTTACCTTCAGCTCAGACTGATTGTGAGTGATGTACCTATATCTCCTTTGTGAGTTGTGCAGCTAAGAATCTCTTATTTCAAATTTAAAGACAATAAGTTGGTTTCAGATTTCTTTCCCATCATGCAGAAAAGCTATACGAATAACCTTTAACTAGAGAATCTCAATTCTTCAGAGATTGAAAATTATCTTTTTATTAGTCATAGTCAAAGCAAATAAAATTATTTGTCATGGGAGACCATGTACCATATATATGCCAGGCACTTTGTATATTATGTGAACAACATTTTTAATGAAGTTGCTATTTACAATCAGGAACGTTGAAGGTTTTTCCCAAAGTCACAGGGATAGTAAATATTGAAATAGAAAAACAAACTCAGGCATGACTTACTTATATTTTTTATATGAATCTGAGCAATTGTTATACTGGTTTCCCCCCTTCTCCTCTTCTCTTTTACTCTCCTCTCTCCTGTCTTCCTCCTTCTTCAATTTCTATATGCCTGGACTTTAAATTTCCCAAACTGTATCTTTAGAAAGTCTGTGCTTCAAATGGTTATTTACTTTGTTTACGAGAGCCTTACTTCTCCTTGGCTTCCCTTAGCTACTCTGAGGCCAAACCGGTTAAACAGGCCTGGTCTAGAAATCTGTGTGTGGAATTGTTATCTACACAGTTAATAAGCTTTAGTATTTCCTCCATTAAAATTGTTCTTTATTTTTTAATAAGGCAAGTGTATCTCTACTTTTATTGTTAAACCATTGATGATCTATATCCCTGACTTTTGATCTCTTTCTCAGTTGACATGTACTAGACCATGAATCTCGAATTGTGGGGTCTTTGGCATTGAACAAAATAAACTGAGGACAGTGGTTTCCTCTGGAGAGGAAAACTGGCCAAAAAGAGAATTTTCAGTGTTTGTGTTTTTTAATCTTAGTAATTTAAAACCAAGTGAGTGTATAAGCTTTTACCAAATTCTAAGTTTAATTCTTCCACATTTCTTTGAACACTTTTACACATCTCAAACACAATAAAGGACAAATTTTCCAACTCAACCAAAATAAGAGTATGTCCCATTATTTTGCATGTAAAAGTAGAATAGTAAAGAAATTCAGTAGGTAGAGCCTGTTAGTGATTTTATTTCTTTAGGATGTGCATGTGACAAAGTTGTAAGTGAGGGTGCTGATCATCTCACTTTCATCACAGGTAAAATGTTGATTCTGTATTTGTTTTTTCCTTATTGGAATATTTCACATAAAAACTCAATGAGGGGAGATTAACTATACACAACTGCAGCTGCAAAGTAACCAACAGCATTTAATAAATAATATTTGTCAGTAGAACATAATGCATACACACCCACAGTAATACTTTTAAGAAAGAAAGCTGCTTTTATGGATCTATTGCTTCCAAAGGTCTTTTTCTTTTCACCTGGGAGTACAAAACACTTTCCCATACTTCCTCTCATAGGAGAGCCCTGAGAGGCCCGTGTGAGTGCCTCTGATTGTCAGATGTGTGTAATGAAGCTCAAAAATAATAACCAGCTGGAGCAATGAATTTGGGACTGTTAGTTACGGCTAATTGACCCCCTCTAAGCCCTTCAACTTGGCCAAAGGCCTTTTCCATGTAATCTTCGGATTTTACTATTTTTCTCCTTTTCATGGACTTTAAATGGCTGACTAGGAAGTAGAGTACTATTCAATTGTGTAAGCAACAATTTTCGTATCCTAGCAGAGGCATTCTCCACACCAGAAGTGCACCAGAAGGCAGAATGGTTTAAGGAGTATGTGTTATTTACTAATTTTAAAACAGCATTTTTAAAATCTTCATAAGAGTCCTCTAAAATTAAGATATTAGTGTCTCCATGATGCAAACAAAAATGTCAATTCAGAAACCTGAGGCAGCCTTCTCCTAGACAATGAGTTCAGATCGGCCTGTTCCAGAGTGCTTCACTCCCTGCTCCCCACTCCCCTGGGTGTGTTACTCTAACAGTTCAGTAAGTAGGAAAGGGAAGTGGGAAACCTTTACCTCTTCTCTTGGGCTATCTAAGTCCCGAAGAAGGTGTTTTTGTTATTGTTTTTGTCATGTCACAGATTCAAATTATGAATGCAGGCATCTTATCTTTATAATGAAATTATGAACCATTTGAGAGCAGAATCACTGTGTAGTTAATTGCCTTTGTATCTTTTAGAATAGCTAGAAGGTGATTATTAAGCAGCCTTGACATACAGATGAAGAAAGAGTTCAGGAAACGTGAGTGGAACAGAAGAAGGAATCAATAATAAATTGGCCAGGTAAAAGGCCACACACCTACTAATAAAAACTTCATGCAAATACTTCGATGATCCATCCAGGTATATTTATAGTTTTATGAATTGGTTCTATTCCTTTCAAATGACCAGTTTGTTACTTATGTAAATGCAGTAAATGCCAATCCATAAAAAAATTTCATAGTGGATTCAACCTAGTAACATGAAGTTCAATAATATCAAGAAAGGTCGAGTCTGATTTTATTTTTTTA